GATTCAACCACTCAACCACTAGATGTCGCTGAAAACAACAAATCCTACACACTGTGCCTTTAAAACAGCCAACAATTTGAAAATGAAGGAGCGTTATGACAATCAAAATACAACGAACAAATTAGGATTTAAAACACCGGAATTGTTGACATGGAATCGTTAAAAATACGTTACATAATTCACTAGCTTCAACGCACAAAATTATTGTGGTCCCTCCCCCCGCCACCGGAAAAATAATTTGTATTACTCTATCTTCTCTCTGCCAATATTTAATATAAGTTTATATTACTTTTCATTGTGAATCAGAATGATTGTTAATTTTTCACATAAAGAGCTGTGATGGACGATGAGTTGAAGAGACTCCAGCTCCTCTGGAGCTCAACTTTCTTCTGTAATTATTTATTTTCAGCAGTTTTTTTTTTCCATTAAAAAAAACACAGAATAAATTCTATATACAATAAAATAAAAGTGTACACTTCTGCAAGAATTTAAACCTTTGATCAAACTTCATTAGAGAGCAGAACCATGAATGAAGTTTGATCATTTTTCTGTCCCTAAAGCTTCCTGGGAAACAGCTACAAGCTGGACTTGAAGAAAAAGATTGAAACCTGAACAATTAAAAACGTAAAAATGCTCTAATGGAGTTTCAGCTCCAACATCTACAGGCTCCTTTAGAAAAGGACACTTCCTGTCTGACTCTGTCCTCTCAGCTACAAAGCAAGACAAACTCAGGATATGTTCAGTAATCCTGCTACAGAGCAGAGTAGGTTCCTGGAATAAGTTGTGGAGGTAAGTTAACTCAGGATAACAGCTATCTGGCTTTCTGAAACCCAAAACCCAGGATATGCACAGAGTTACCCCAGAACTCACTCAGGATTTCCACTCGTCCTGCTTTCTGAAACAGGGCTCAGGCKTTTGGAGTTTTTCCTGACGTAACGACAGCCCTGAGCTCAGTTTGTTTGTTTGTCACGTAGTACCTGGTGTCGCTGATTGAGAGCAGGCTGGGCTGGATGAGCGTCTTCTACTTCTTCATCGTCATGGTAGGACATTTCTACGAAATCACAACTTCCCGTATTCATCCTAACCTACAGCGTTCTTAGTCGGTCTTTGATTGGAGTAAAAACGGCACAGATTTATATAAAAATACTAAATTATCTTCTGAAACGGGTGAAAATATTTTAWATTTGGGTGTGTTTTCTTTCGCCGCAGACAGGGGGCAGCATTGTGTTCATCACTCCTTTACTCGCTGGAGAAGTTCAAGACTTGTGGAGGCACAGGCGAGCGCTGCGGCGCCAGCTGTGAGCACCTCAAACATCTGGTCCGGGACCACGCAGCAGGTCTGTTCAGATCCTTTGGGTTCAGGATGCAGGAACTCAACAATCACTGTCGTCTTAAAAWAAATAAATAAATAAAACGGGTCGTTGGGACTTGATGGAAGGTTTGGAGGGGGGGCGGGGTTCTGGGGCCTCATGTATAAACGGTGCGTACGCATAAAAAAGTTGCGTGCGCCAGGCTCTACGCCCACGTTGTGATGCGTCAAAACCAACGGTGCGTGAAAGTGTGCGGAAATATACGCACACTTTTCACCTGCCGTGAGAGTGTGCTGCAGCCACGCAAAGTTGTTCAGGCGACAGTTTTAACCCACAAAGCCACGAATCTGACCTGAATCCACAGAAATATGACTCTTGTGTTTTCTGGATGTAAGGAGCGTCTGAACACGGTGTTAGATTTTTATTTTAGTTTTAGTTTTTATCGTTTAAACTCGGAACGATCATGAAACTGAACCCCGGGACTGAAAATCAAATAGATCAGCCTATAAATGATCAAAGAGCCTCCAGTCTACTGTAAACTGTAAAGTTTTTATATTTCTCTCACGAGTTGGAAACACACGCAGAGCGCACACACTGCTGAGGAATTGTCTAAGAAACATTTCAATTCTCACTGAGAAAAAAACGTCAACTCAGCAGATTAATTCAGAACAGCTCAGCTGTGATGATTCCTCAGCTCCACAACAGATTTGTTGCAGCGTAAAGTTGTGCGTATGGATCAGTCAGCTGTTATGCAGGATGTTATCACCACAAGAAGAATTGAGGACAGCGTGTTTTTTTATTTATTTATTTGTATCACACCGAAAAAATTACAATGAAGTATTTTACTGTAGTTCTGAGTCGAGCCATGCAGCTGATCTGACTGAGAAACGTCACGATTCTAAAATATAAATCACACCGCGGCAGGAACTCGCAGCGCCGCGACTCATTCATAAGTTTCTCTGTGTTTACTTGTCTAAATTTGTCCGTACGTTAACTTTTAGTGTGAAAGCTGCGCACCCCTTTATGCACGAGGCCCCAGGACTCGCGAACGCGCTCTTCTGTAAAATTTACACACGGTGTCTATTTTACGGTTTAAATGGACGTAAATACTTCACTTTTTAGGAGAGAAAGTTTGGAATTACCTTAAACTTCTTTATGTTTCGCCTCTGAGCAGCCAGATTATTTACTCATTTCTTGTCTAATCCTCGTACTTAACCCCATCTTGTCCTAAAAGATGACAGAAATGCTCCGACTATGAGCTGGAGGTGCTCAGCTGCTGCCACGGCTAATTTTAGCCCAACTTTTGTAAAACCGACTGCTGCTGCGGCCAGTTCTGTGTAGCTGTGGCGGCCATCTTGAATAGGGTTGTAGTTGCTCATCCTGAAAGTGTTCTTTAAATCCATCCAGTGGCTTGTGAGATATTTTGCTAACAGACTAAATTGACTCCAAACGGTTATTTTTTTTTGTTCTGCTAGCGCTCATTTTGTTTGAGTCTCAGCTACTACCACACGAAATTTTAGCTCATTTGTAAGGTTTCTTCAATGGTTTATGAGATAGTTTGCAAACAGTTTGCTACGTTTTAGCATAAGCAAATAAAAAATGCACTTACTTTTGGTGTCAAACTGGTATTTTTGGGAGTTTTATACAGATTTATGTGAAGAAAACCTAAATTTAAAATTATCTCTTAACACAGGTTCATCCTTTGAATTTAAAAGCTTTTTAAGCCTAAATGAGTCATAGATTATAGTGGCTTAATATGCGAATACAACAAAATAAATGAATAAAATATTCACTGGACTGGACTAGAAATGAGGAAATGATCCAAGTTTAAAAATTCATCAAGACCACTTAATCAAGTTTGGCAGTTTGGAGGTGAAATATAAAGAAATCAGGGGGGCTTAAAACTTCTGCACATGGTTGTCTCAGTCAAACTGACTGATTTTTAATTTCAAACCAGGACCTGTGGGTCAGTTAGGAATGTGAATAGTGATTGTAATGTCTGATTTTTGTATATATTTATGAATATTCAGTCATATTTAGACGTTGCACTTGTAAAAATTTARCTTTAATTATAAATAGCATAAATTACTGAACCACTTAGACTCTTTGCTTTTGTTTGATGTGTTTAGTGTAATCTGGGTCAGTAATTATCTGTAAAAGCTTCTCATTATGGGGACTGGTTTCCTACAATCTGTAATATTTTTGTCCTTGATTCTTTTTCCACTCGAAATGTTTACATTTTTTTTATTTCAGTGTCTTAATTCACGCGACACATAAATGTCAGTGTCTCGTTTTATAAGCAAGTCAAGAATGACCTGATTTCATGGTATTTTGTTGTCATAGCCTTTATAAGATGAGCCAAAACAAATGTAACAGAATGTAAGGTGAAATACTTGTCCTGTATTTCTAATGGTCTTATTTATGTTTTAAATAAACGTGACGTTTTGCAAATCTTCCCTCAGCCATCAGGGGGTGCTGTGAGCGCGACGTAAAGATACACTAACACTTTTTCTTAAAAAAAAAAAAAGACAAGTAAAATTGTTATGATTTATCATTTTATTTTTGTCCACACTGAAGGAAATCAGCAAAAGCAACAACAAGCAAACTTGTAGTTTTCTATACAGACATTTTCAACAAAAAAACGACACATTTATACATGTAAAATACAAAAAGTATTCATTTACAATAAAATAATTACAAACGATATACAAATATTCATGCATATATATAAACTAAATCCTTTTTGTTACAGCTGCAACAAGGTTTCTTAGTAAATTTTACTGGAGACAAACTGGACAGTTTTATTATTATTTMTAGAAATTATTTTAGTTTAAAGGTGACCAAATGCTTTTTTGTTTTAGCTTATCACAAAATTAAGACGGAGTATTAGGGCTACACGAGATTCTTTTTTTTTTTTAATTACGAGAAAAATTAGGTTTTTGCTTTTAAATTTGAATTAATAAAACGAGTTTCTACAAATAAATCAAGCCAAGATTAAAATATGCCTTTAAAAAAAAAATTCAAATATCTCCGCTCCTGTTTTGAGAAAGTTTAATGGCGAACTGAGGCGACACTGAGGCTTTTATTTTCCTGCTTTACTTATTAAATGGCTTCATGAGGTAGTAAAAGGTGGATGAATCCAGATTACGGCTTCTGCTTTCAAATTCAGATCCAGTTCGGGTCAAATGAAATGAAAAGTTTTACAGAAAAAGAAGCAAAACTTGAGTTGATTTTTTTTTTTTTTTTGGGATAAAGTTAAATTGTGAACAACAAAACCCACCCACACGTCATGCATATGTACACAAACTGCAAGTGTGACGCGAAGCCAGACTTTTGTGTGAAACCATAACATTGTATTCCTTCCAGCTGGTGATAAAACGTTTCTGGTGTTTAAGGCTTTGAATGAAGACAAAGTGGAAGAAATATTAAAAGCATAAAGTTTGTCTAAAATACTTGTGAAAATAATACAACAGAATGATTTTTAATGTTTTACTGTAGTTTGTGTCATTTGAGCCCCTGACCTTTGACCTGAAGGGGAACGACGGTCGTGCCGCCGCTGGTTGAGGTTCTGGCCTCTGATTCGCCTCGAGCCTTCAGAGCTCGTGGCGGCGGTCGTGACCCCCTGCTCCGAACCTCTCAACCACTTGAGGATAATTAACCTTTTTAGTGCTCCTTTTTGTTCCTGTTTTAGTATCCTGATAAGAGTGCATTTAGCATGATTTCACAGTACAGTTAAAAGCTGAATACAACAGTATATAAAATGTACAGTATATTTATAAATCTATATAAAAACAGCTTCTAAAGTCTGAGCTTGGTTAGCTAGGAGTAGCTTCCTTGTGCTGAGGGTTAAACACACGGTCAGAAGATTTCTGAGTAAAGTCTTATGCGATGCTACATGTTCTCATGTGATCTGTGTGAGGTGATGTTTAGAGGCTGCTGGTGCGTTTACTGCCGAGACGACACTTTGGAGTGAAGCAGCCTCGTCTTCTTCACCTTGAAGAAATCTGCAGAGGAAGAAGAAACAAGACGGAGTGATTTAAAAATGGGTTTTAAAGGTAAAACTCAATAAATGAAGCAGTAATGCAGGAGCTCACTGGGCCGGGACTGTTTGAGACATGAAACTGCAGGAAAAGGCGCAAAATTCTCTACAGCATTTAAATCTGACTGGGTCAAACTCAAGGCCCGCAGGCCAAATGTGGCCCACCACTGTATTTTATGTGGCCTGTGATCGCGTCAAAGACGTRTTGTCTTAAAGTGCCTGTGACATGCTTTTTCTTCACTTACAAAAAATTAAAGAAAGTATCCTAATATTTAAGAAATTTGGCAACATTCGCATGATTTTCACCCAGTTTGTCACAAAACGTGCATATTTTTTTGCTGAATTTGGTGCAGTCCAAGTGAAACAGGAAGTGATGTCAAAGGGGAATGCTTTAAAAAAGTAACTTCCTGGTCTTTATAAATCTGACTTATTTATCTGATAATGACTGAAAATGATCTACAGAAACATCTGATTCTTTGCAGTCTGTTGTGAGCCGTTGTAGCAACTCATTCAGGAATTCCCCTCTGACATCACTTCCTGTTTCTGCTCATGCAAATATCTCGACGACTGTTCGTTTCAGTATTGTGAAATTTGGTTTTCAATTGATCATTAATTTTATCCTTACAAATATGCACTCAAATACATCACTTCAATTTCATGTTACAGGCACTTTAAAATTAAGTTGCTTTAAAACCAGCATTGACCATAAACTACATCTCCCATAATGCAACTTGATTATTTTACCCACAACATGACTGCACCCCACCACTAGGTAGAGCTGCCGTATACAATCCACATTTAGCTGCATGTTTGTCGGCTACGTTTGCTGCGGTGTAGTCGTACTGGGAAGTGGGAATTTCCCACTAATAAGTTGTAAATTTAAACTGGAATGCCCCCTCCAATGGGAGAGTTGAGAATTCAAGATGGCGGCTACTCATCACAACTCAACATTTAATAAAACTCCTACTTTTAAYAGTATTGCTGTAGTATTTATTTCATATTTAGTCAGCCGTATTAAAATGCTGTTTCTACGCAGGAAAAACCACATGGAGCTCAGTTATTGTTTGTTAGCGGTACTCAGGAATGTGCCATTTCCTGTCTAGTTGAAGTTAAATTTAGAGAGAGCAGTAAGTCCGGTGAGTAAGTACTAGGGATGGGTACCGAATTCAACATTTTCTTCAGTACCAACTGAATTCTGTCGGTACTACCGAGAACCTAGTCACGTAACAACAAACAGTACAATGTTTCGGTACCTAAATGCACCATTGTGACCGTATTGGCGTAAGAGTGGGAAATTTTCCATGCTTGTCCTGAACGCAGCATCGCGCAAGAGCGTAATGACGTCAGCAGCCGCTGGTTCAGTAGTAGAGTCCGGCGTAGCTTGAAAGCCTCGCAGCTCCAGGAGTGAAACTCACCGAACAGACCGCCTCTGAATTATCTGGTGGATTAATTATCTTGTGAGCATGACGTTCGCTTGCTCAAAGTAAATGAAGTACCGCCATTAAACAGAGACCGACAGAGGAAAACAGAGGTGCGTTAAGACTCTTGATTTGAGGACAAGAATGGTGAAAAACGGGCAGGACTGGCCAGACAGGACAATAATCATAACTAGGTGTTTCCCGACGGTCCGAACGCGTCTGACCTGAAAGAGCACAAGCAGCCAACTTAACGTGTTTGGTGCGTTTTGGATGCTCAAAACGTAGCTTGAATACCTTTTATTTTAACTCCATCCTCTTTTGTTTATTTGATTTAAAGTGTATCTTACCCCACCTATGAAAAGATAACTCCGCCCCAAGGTGAAATTTGAAAAATGCATCAAAGTGGGTAGGGGAGGGGGGTTAGAGAGCGGAGGTGTGGCCAGGATGAGAGAACGTGACAGGCAGCTAGCATTAGCATAATTGATGCTACATGGAGAATGACCACAGTATCGCAGATAGTTACATCTCTGCATGTCTGAGGTGGAGGATTTTCACCCCACACCAGCCTCGGACGGGAGGGGGGTGTCAGCTGTGGGCATGAAAGCGCCTGCTGAAGGAAAGG